GCACTTTTATACTGTCATGCCCCAGCCAGCCCTGGCCACCATCTAAACATGTGCTTTGGCACAGTAAGTAACTGAGCCCTAAGACAGTACTCTGGGGGAACAGCACTATCTTAGTGCACATTTAACTAATCTATTGCACCCTAATACTGCACAGATGTAGATGGTGATGCTTAACTGTGGAGCTAATTTGTAAACTGCAGTAAAGCATATGTGTACATGTGCCCTATGGGGTACTGTGTATACTAGAGATGGGGGCAATGCCAGGCAGCCCACAGAATGAAGGAACCAAAACTGGTTTTGAATACCTCCCACTGTCATATGAAAAGCGAGCTTGAACATAGGACAAGAGAGGATCTGTCTTAATTATTTTCACTTCCTCCAGTGGTTTCAAAGGCAAAGCAAGTTATGGGAAGAGAATGTAACAATAAGTACTCAGAACAAAATTATCTTTGCTGCATCGCAAAGGAAAACTTCCAACTTCTGGAAAATTCATAGGAAAAAGGCTTGCAAGTATAGCAATAATTTTATTAAGACCTTTCTTTTAAAAAAATTTATATCACTAAGGCTTTGAAAGCTTAAGGAAAAGATCTGGAAAAGTCATTTGAAAGTAATATTACTTTCAAGTGCAAACTTTTCAAAGGGTGGTGAATTAAATGAAATATAAGTAGATGCATTTGGTTTTCAAGAAACTGGAAAACTGATTTTATAAACTTATACTGTACATCACCAAAGAACTGGACATTTCATAAAACTATAAATAAATTCAACATTTTAAAGTACTTAAACAGCTGAAACTGACATACAGTACCAGAGAATTTTATAAGCAGTCCAAGAAAAATTAAATTCTAAGCTCTTACCATCAAAGAAACTTTTGGCTCTCAGGTAACTGACGCTAAGCCTAAGCACAGACAGTTTATCCAGCTTGGCGATAACATCTTGTGGGAAAGGCAGAAGGCTAGCCAAGCGATCCAACTCTGCATTTAACCGGTCTCTGTGTCTCTTGGATGGATTGGACTTGACTCCTTCAACTGGAGATGGCTTTACTCTGTGAAAAAGAGAAACTGTATTAATACAAACTTTTCTCCCACAAAATATTATCTCATAGCTATTTCTTTCATAGAAAGGCAGCAAATTTTTCCCATTTAAATTGATGACTACCTGTACAAATCATTTTTTAAACTTAAAACATGCATCTCCTTTCCCAGAATGACTTGTACATTCTTCAGTGAAAAGTAACAGCTGAGACTGAGTCCAAATAAACTTAGCTCAGCAACAATCAGCAGCATGACTTTATTTAAGTAATGGCAGCCAAAATCAACAATAAGTCAATTTAAAACAACTTTAATCAACTTTTCCAACTGTATTTCAGTTACTTTGCTTTCTTTAAAAAAAGAATTCCCATTAGTTAATTAACCTTTACAACATGTAATTTTATAATTAAATACAGTCTTTATTCTAGATTTGGTACATGTTTTTGCACCCTAGAAGATTCTATACTATGACTATGCATCCATGTTTAAGCACATTTAAACACTTATACAGCTCAATATTTTCCTATTCCTATTAAATGCATTAAAATGGTGAAGGACAGATTGTTTATTTAAATGATAATTCTTTCTGCTTGTGATGTATGTCAAACAGCTGCATTAGGATGTTAAATAAAATTCACTCTCGAGTTACATGATGATGCATCCAATAAACAGGGACCAAGGCCCAAAGCACACCAGTGGCACAGGCTCTGGCTTCCTCACTAGATCAAGCCCTTCATGCCAACTGTGGCATATTTATAAAGTTAGATATTCCCCTACCCCTTTCATCACACAGAAGAATCCACATAACTCTAAGGGGGGTTATTTTTAATAGAGCCCCAGGGTTGCAGACTCTTTATTGAAATGTGTTAAAAGATTATATATTTAGACCAGTATGTACTAAAATCACATTTCATTTTACAATTGTTTTATTTTAAAAAGAAAAGAATGGTCATTTAAATATCAACAAATAATAAAAATTTAATAAATATGACGCGATGAAAATCAGTTCTTAGTATCTGGTCCTGAAGAGCATTTGATACATGTTCAGTTTACTGTACAGCTTATTTTCAGTTGACAAATACATTATCTGTGAACTTCTTTGCTGAAAACACTGTTATTTATCAGACAAACTCCTGCCCCAAATCCCTTCTAATCTAGGAGAACACACTGAAACTTACTGGGAGTTCCTGAGGAAGCCACTGCTCTAGATGCTTTTAATTAGATTTTAGTGGGGGAGATGCATACAGGCACCAAGAAACATCCTCTCAGAGCCAAAAGCATAGTGAGCATTCCCTGCTACAAACACAAAACTGTCCTTCAACTTTCAGATAATCCCAAAATTTATAGCTTATGTGACATGACAAATTGCCAAAATATACTGTTCAAATACAGTTAAAGTAACAGTGCTCCAATGTGAATTATATAATAGGGTTTATGTAATCTTGCTTCTAGTTTCCATTTACACCCACTATAAATTTCCTTTGCCATGCCCTCAAGTTTTCACAATCTTTTATATATATTAAAGAACTGGGTTGTGTCCCTCACTCATCTATGTTACCTGAAATTATATTCAAGCAATATAAGCAAATACTTTGTTAACAGATTAGCTTTGTATTGTATTCCAACATGCATGCAATTAGGAAATCACAGTTTAAGTGGAGAGGCTATGGGTTACTGCTTCTATATTATCGTTCACTTTTATGTAAGTTTATAAAGTTGTCAGTCTGCTACAATTTATGCTATTTTATTATGCATATTGGTTTTGCAAGACATGACATGCCTGTCCGTACCTAAAGGCTTTATTTAGTCTAAACAGTCCTGGGAGCACTTAATTCAAAGTACTGACTTCAATCAACTTAATATTTTGCACTAGCTAGCAATTTAAAAGCTCCTGTAGTATTTTCAGCAGTGATGAAATGCAGATATGATATGAACTGCAAGACAGTTTCATGATTTCCAGTCAAATAAATAATGGATAGAAATGACATCGTATCGTACATGCATAATGCCATACATTGTTAGCCCCATATTTCTCCATTTCAATTGAGTTTCCCCTTTTTATTTTGGCTGAAATTGCGTTGACAATTTTACTTAAGGTCCAAACCTTTTTAATCAATTTTTAAAGGGCAGGTGCTTCTCCAGTAACACTATTTTCTAACTGGCAAGTACTTGTGTTTAATATTTGTTAGCTGTTCACTTTCAACATTAAAAAAGTGTGCTGCTGTTACCATTAAAGAGATGTCCCATCGCATTTCCTATTTAATAAAGACTATAATATAGCATGTTTACAGATACACACAAAACCTCCAGGACAACAACTAATATGGTACTTATATTAATCCCCACTAATACTGAGCTTGTTCCAGAAATAAAGGGTCAGTTTTCCCACTGTTTGGAGATTGGTCCAGGAATAGATTTGCAGTAAAAAGGGGTGGGGGTGGGGGGAGGATACAGAAAAGGGAATGAACAGTTGTGAAAATTCTGACTTTGAAAAAATCCAGAATGAAAAGAGCACTGTGTGTAGTGGGTGCCTTGTCAAATACAATTTGAGGTAAACTGATTATGTGGCTTTGAGCAACAGAAGAACCAAGGCCTTTATTTTGAGTCTTGGCTTTCTAAGGGCAATCATGAGCCAAATAGGCAGCTCAACTTTAGGTTACCTGCAGCTCACCCCAGCCGAAGATAACCTAACTTTCCCACAACCATCCCAACTAATAATATTACATATCCCTGCAACTGACTTCTTTGTGTGTACAACTGCCAGTAAGAACTGGATTAATAAACTGCTACTAAACATATATTAATAACTTTGGGCAGCAAGAGTGAGCCATCCATTCACACAGCTGCACATTTTCGTCAGCTGTACCCATCTTCAGAAAGTGCATCTTCTCATGCAATAGCTTGCAGTGTCTGATCCCTTTGTTACCAAGTCACAAAGAGCCAAGAGAATAAAAAGCCAATGCCACAACTTATCTCCACCCCTGTTTTCCATTTAAACATGTAACATCCACAGGCAATTTGACAAGCTAACTAGAAATTACAGGAGGTATTATACAACTGATTTAGTGGATGACAGAGTTTGTTAATGGAGCTGGACCAGTTCCAATTGTTGGGGATGGGAAGTTTATGAGTCTGGTTACTTTGAAGTCTTTTTGTTGTTTCTTTTTTTCTTTACTTTAGCTAATGCACAATGACACTGGAAATACTGAGTATGAGACGCAACAGTACTGAGGTTCTGGACAGCCGAGAAACTAATAAACTCATCATTTCTTTATCTTTCCCCCATCTAAACATTTATTTTCTTTAACTATTCCCTTCCACACAGTAAAAACCAGGATGTAAGCTGAATCTGTTAGGAGGAATGAAAGCCTAGAACAGCCATCAGGAAATCAGAGAGGAGAACAGAGGGGCACCGTGTGTGCCATTTCCCATATACAGATTTAAATGGCTGACTAAAATGTGTATCACTTATGGAGACTTCAGCAGTAAATGCATTGTAGCAATTTACTCTCAAGTGAAAATAAATGCTTTGTCCAGATTAATCCTAAGTGTGTATACTTTGAGTAAAAAACCAAAAATACTTCAGGAGGAAACAAATCCCTTTCCAATTCTGTTTCTCCAACCTTTAAAATCAATTATCAGACATCTGAATTCTCTAATAAATCAGTTACTCAGAGGTCATTTTAAATTAATCTCTCAGAGTTGAACTGCAATCTATAGCTCAAGACAAGCAAGTGTGGTCATGGAGAGATAAAATAAGATTAAATTCAGTTACCAACCTAACATATAATTTGAACATTTTCCCAGGCCTGCTACACAGTAGGTTCTGTACTCTCTCACACATATTCACCAAGAATATACTTAGATATATAAAATTTTAAAAAGCATGGGTCTTCATCCTTAATTTATACCAAAAGACCAAAGAAAGATTCAATACCCACTAGTGGATTTTAAAAAATAAAATAAATTTGAAACCGTTGTAAATAAAGTTGTTATATTTATTAAGGTTGGAAGGAGTAAAGAAACACAGTGAAAAGATCACAAGGGAAAATGGGACATTGTGATCTCTTACAAGAAAAAGATAATGTGAAGTGCAAGCAGAAAGAAAAAAAACATGCAACGAGCAAGAAAGACACGGAAAATTATATCGTTAAACATGTCACTAGAAAATTGATTAGAAATATTAGGGATCTTTTTTATTCCTTAAAAAGAGAAAGAGGGTTTCAAGGACCCTAGGGAAGAACAGGCATCTGTCACCTATTGATGGGCTTATTATATGGGCTGCAAAGTGTTGCATGTTTTCACAGCCCACCTTTATATAACAGGCAAGATAATTATTTTTAAACTTCTTATTTAGCAAATCTGCAGCCTACGGTGAATGTGATGTGCCTATATCATACGCAGGGATGTCACTGTAGATTACAAATGAAATCAATGAAGTTATCCTTCCAAATAATTAGCAACCACATGTTAAGTATGTGAAAATGGACATGTAAAAAGGTATAGAAATAAGTATTTCAATAAAATAAGAAATTTTGTTTTTTAATTAAATCAAGTTGATAACCCCCTACAGGCACCATCATTCTTTCAAACTAGTCATTCCCTGAAATTCTTATACCACTACAACCCACCTGTACTGATGTAATAAATGCCATCCTCAAATGTCATACTATTTCCCAAAGCTACTAAAAATCCTAAGCATAATGTTGATTTTTTAAAACACTTCCTTCACACTTCCCTCCACTGTATTTGTTATTAATAAGAGGACAGATGTGTAGTTTGGGAATGGTGTGGGTGGGACAGGACTTCTGTAGACCACTGACCCCTACGATCTGAGATGGAGGCACACCTATCTGAAGGAGGCAGCAGTTCTGTTCCAACCAGTCTCTGACAGAAGACAGGGCAGAA